TTCCCCTAATTTGTCCTAAACCAGGTCAGAGGATTAGGAAAAGGAGAAGGAACCACAAGGTCGAGCACTCCCTGAATTTGCAGCCCCCACGCATGGGATCATCACCCCCCGTCCTGCAGGTGCCCTGGGAAGGGGAGCTCGGCCCAGATATCCTGGGGGATCCTTGGGTTTGGGGTTTTTTGGGGGGATGTTTGGAGAATGAAGAACTCCAGAACTGAGCGGAAAAGGCCCCTCGGGGGGACATCGGGGGGTGGCGGTGGCAGCTGCCGGCAGAGGCAGACTGGAGGAGCAGAGCCCTGTGTCCCCCAGGAGCCCAAAGTGGGGAGCCCAGAGAGGGGGGAGTGCCGCCATTGGTGGGACCCTCAACAGCCTGGAGAGGGGCAGGGGGGTCTCCTTGGAGCCCCTGCACCCCAAAGCAGAGAATAAGGGGAGAAGGGACCCAGGGACCCCAAAACCCCCAGCATCCCTAAGTGAGGAGATGGAAAAGGGGGGAGCTTTTTGGATTGTTGGGACTCCCAGCACCTTGGGCAGGGCGGGGACCAAGTAGATGAGGGAGCCCCAATACAAGTGTGACCCCCAGCAGCTGGGACAGGGGGAACACCCCTGAACACCAAGAGCCCCTTCTGGGGGTCCTTGGTGGGTTCCTGGTGCTCAGTCCCAGAGCTTGGAGCCCAGTCTGGGGGGTTCTGCTGTCTAGTCCCAGAGCTTGGAGCTCACTGTGGCTGCTCAGGGAGGGGAAGATTTGGGGTCCCTAGAGTGCCCTGGAGTGGAGAAGGGGCAGATTTGGGATCCTCACATGAGAGGATGAGAAATTTAGGGTCCCCCAAAATCCCCTGGAAATGCTGGGGGTGGAGGGGGAAATTTAGGATCCTCGGGTGAGGGGGGATCAAATTTTGAGGTCCCCAAAGTTCCCTGAGATGGGAAATGGGGGCAGATTTAGGGTTCCCAGGTGAAGGGGAGGGTGGTCAGTCACACACTCTGTGCTGTCCCCAGGAATGTCCCCAACTCTCCACCACTCCCCGAGGCAGCTGAGGGGAGGGGTTCCCCCTTTCTCCCCCTGCCACCTTGGGGACATCCTGGGGTGCTTCCCCTTTGTCCCCCCATCCTGACCCTGGTCCCGGTGCCACATGAGTGCTGATCCCATTAAGAGCCTTTGCTCGAGCGGGGGAGGTGACACCATGGCCACCCCTGGCCCACACTGTCCTTGTCACCAGCATTGGCCTGGCCAAGGCCCTGCTGCTTGTCAGGGACCCCCAAAAGTGACACCTGGGTGAGGGGGGTGTCCCCAAATGTCCCCAAGGCGGGAGGGGACATGGGAAATACCAGGAAAGGGGGCTGGGACATCCCGGGATTGTCCCCAACACGGGGTTTTGGGATCCCTAATGGGTTTTTGGCATCCCTAATGAATTTTTAAGTTTTTTGGGATCGTCAGTCCTGGCCACCAAGCGGGACCTGTCCCAGGAGATTCTCATGGGGTTTTTGGGGTCCCTGATGAATTTTTGGGTTCCCTAATTAATTTTTGGGGTCACCGTACTGGCCACCATGTGAGACCTGTTGCAGCACGCTTGGGTTGGGTCTCTAATGGGGTTTTTGGGATCCCTGATGAATTTTTGGGGTCACTGACTGATTTTTGGGGTTGCAGTCCTGGCCACCATGCAGGACCTGTCATGTTGGGGGCCACTGGAGGTGGCAGCTGGGGACACCCTGCAGATCCTGCAGCTCCATGTCACCAGAGACAGCTCCAAGGCTGAGTGCTGGGGGGTGTGGACATCGTAGGTGAGGAATTTTGGGGGGTTTTGGGGTGGTTTGATATGGGACCCAAAACAGGGTGAATGGACCCAAAATGGAGGGGGAAGGACTCAAAAGGACAAAGGGTGTCATGGCATGTCCCTGCCTGTTATGGGGCAGGCACAGATGTTCAGCACCAGAAGCGGGCACGGGGACATCCTGAGGAACACAGTGACACCTCGAGGGACACAGGGACACCCTGCAGGACACACCCATGGGACCTGAGAGAATTTGGGCCTGCTGGGGGTAGGGGACAGGGACATAGGGGGAGGGAGGGGGACACACAGAAGGGGTCAGGGACACATAGGAGAGATGGGGACAGGCACACACATGGGGGACAGGGACACACAGAGGGGTGACAGAGAGCAATGGCAGGGAATTGAGACAAACAGAGGGAGAGGACACAATGCTATGAGGGCACACATCAGGGAACAATGTCACCACACCTGTGAGGACACTGGCACCAGGACAGCTGCGGTGACACCCAGTGCAGGGCCACGTGACCCCGCGGGTGACATTGACCCTTGCTGTGTCCCCAGGGGCGGCTGGGGTCCCCAGAACACAGTGGCTCTGGAACACCCTGGTGGCTGTCACTCGCTTCTGGGTCACTTGTCACCAGCTGAACAAGTTCCTCGTCCTGGCCTGGAGGGGGGTGACATTTGTCTGGGACACTACAGAGGTGACAGTGGGGATGTGGTGCTGTGGCCGAGTTGAAGGTGCTGGTGGCACTGTGGTAGCACAGGTGGTGGCATTGATGCTGTTCCAGTTCATGTCCCCATCCATGGCCATGTCTCCATATGGCCCCACCCATGTCATTGTCCCCCCACATCTCCCCATCCATGCCTAAGTCCAACATCTTTATTTTTACCCCCATTTCAGGGTCTTAAAGGGATGAAGAGAAACCTTTTCCTTTCACAGCCAAAACAAAAGGATTTTCATGTCCCTACCAGCAGAGCATCCATGTGCTTGGCTGGGTGGGCAGAACCTTTTTTGGAAGGGTTTCTAGCCCACTGTCTCCAAAATTGTGGGTTTTGCCCCAGACCATCCCCATTTGGCTATGGAAGATGCCTGTGGGCCAGAAAGAATTAAAAGGATGGATTTATGTTGGAGAAGACCTCAAAGGCCAGCCAGTGTTGCTTGATGCCACCAGAAGATGCAAAAAGTGAGATTTTTCTGGGGTCAGAAGTCGACAAAGCTGCTCTCTACAATGGTACAATGGATTCCTGAGGTTGGTTTGTGGATGTGTCCAGGTGCCCACAGGGAGCCAGGAGGATGTGGAGCTCCCAGCCAGGTGTTTTCCCAACATGGATCACCAGCACCACAGATCACTGCGGCTCTGCCCACCGAAGTCACTGGGGACCATCCAGTGCGGATCCTCCCATGGGGGATGGAGCTGGAGCAGCGCATGGAGCTCTTCCCACACTGGGGGCACTTGGCAGGGCTGCCCTTACCGGTGCCTCCGTTGGTGCTGGGTCAAGTTAGAACTCTGGGTGAAGCTCTTCCCACACTGGGGGCACTCGTAGGGCTTCTCCCCAGTGTGGATGCGCCGGTGCCTGACGAGGTTGGAGTTGTGCTTGAAGCCCTTCCCGCAGTCGGGGCAGCGGAAGGGCCGCTCATCCGTGTGAACCCGCTGGTGCTTGAGGAGCGTGGAGCTGGTCTGAAACCTCTTGCTGCATTTATCACACTCGTAGGGCCTCTCCCCGGTGTGGATGTGCTGGTGCTTGACGAGGTCAGAGTTGACAATGAAGCCCTTCCCACAGTCTTGGCAGCGGAAGGGCCTCTCCCCTGTGTGAATCTTTTGATGCTTGAGGAGGTCGGAGTTGGTCTGAAACCTCTTCCCACACTGCTCACACTCGTAGGGCCGTTCCCCTGTGTGCATCCTCCGGTGTTTGATGAGGTTGGAGCTTGACCTGAAGCTCCTCCCACATTCCCCACACTCATAGGGCCGTTCCCCTGTGTGGCTCCTCTGGTGGACGATCAGGTTGGAGCTTGATCTGAAGCTCTTCCCACACTGGGGACACTCGTAGGGTGTCTCCCCGGTGTGGATGCGCTGGTGGCTGACACGGGCAGAGTGGTTCTTAAAGCCCTTCCCACAGTCGGGACAGCAGAAGGGCCTCTCGTCTGTGTGAATCCGCTGGTGCCTGAGGAGATGGGAGCTGCTCTGAAACCTCTTCTTGCATTTACCACACTCGTAGGGCCGTTCCCCCGTGTGGATTCTTTGGTGGCGGATCAGGTAGGATCTCTGGCTGAAGCTCTTTCCACATTGTGAGCACCTCTGGGGTTTCTCCCCATCGTGATGCAGCTCATGGACCTCTAGCTCTGAGCTCTGGCTGCATCTGTAGCCCAGGGTGGGTCTTTCCTCCTCTGATCCCTGCAGTCTGTGGTTGCAGACCCTCCTCATGTGGAATGTCTCTGGCTTTTCCTCCCCATTGGATTCCTGCACCATGGAGCCACTCAAAACAGCCTCTTCCACGAGGTTCAGCTGCGGGGATTTGTTCTCACTGGTCTCCATCCTCAGCTCCTTGTCTGGGGGAGGAAGGACAAGGAGAGGATGGCATTTGCCTTCGTGCCAGAGGGCAGCCAGGGGCCATGCTGGGCTGGGAGATGGAGCAGGAGAGAGGGGGAAAGGGGCACTGACTTCCTCCTCACCTGCCTGGGTGTCCTGGGGCATCTTCCTCACAGCCTCCTCCTCCATCCGGCCACGGTTTGGGGATGGGAAATCCTGGTTTGGGGGAAACAAGGGGTGAGCGCGTTGGGTTCGATGGTCCCGCTGCCCAAGTGCAGCTGGAGAAGTCACTGCCCCCTTCAGCCTCGGGGGGCCCGGACCCCGCTCATCCCCAGCCTCCCCCTCCCCTCCGGCTCCGGGCGCTCTCCCACTCCGGGGCTCCCGCGTTCCCCCCCGGCTCTCCCGGGGATCCCCAAACCCAACATCGCTCCTCTGCCTGCCGGTACCGGCCATCGCCTCATGGGACCTCCCAAGATCCCTGCGGGGCCATTTCCGGCTCAGCTTTGGGGTCCTGCGAGACCCAAACATCCCCTGCCCTGCCAAACAACCCTGCCGGAGCCCCCCGATGGATTTGGGGCGAGCTTCCCTCCCCGCTCACCGGCGGTTCCGGGGCGATGCCGGCGGAGCCGGGGCAGCCGCGGCCCGAGCGGGGGAACCGCGTGGGGTTGGTGCTGCTGCTCCTCCCGCTGCTCCTCCTCTTCCTGCTCCTCCTTTCCTCTCGATCCTCTCCCTCCCTTTCCTTTCCCTCCCCTCTCCCTCCTCTCCCTCCCGCTCCTGGTCCGCTCCCAGCCCGGCCCGGGCGGTGCCGACACCCAAAAGCAGCCGCGCTCTGCCCGGGGGGTTCCAAAGCGGCCCCGCCCGCCCGGCACTGGGAGCGATACTGGGAGCACTGGGAACGATGGAGAGAGCGCCGGGCAGGAACTGGGAGCGCCGTCCCTGCCAGCCCCGCTCTTACTGAGAGCACTGGGAGCGATGGAGAGAGCACCGGGCAGGAACTGGGAGCGCCGTCCCTGCCAGCCCCGCTCTTACTGGGAGCGCTGGGAGCGAACTGGGAGCAAACAGCGCCCGGAGGCGGCTGCAGCCGGCGGGGGGCGGGACCAGGCCAAAGGGCGTGGTTATGCAAATACGGGAGCTATCGCGCGCTGGGATTGGTGGGCGGGAGCAGCGCGGGGTTTGCACGGTCACGTGAGGGCCGGGGGGAGCCGGAGCGATGGCGGCGGCGTCCGGTGTCCGGTGAGAGGGGACAGGGAACGGGAATGGGAATGGGAATGGGAACGGGAACGGGGACGGGAACGGGGACAGGGAGAGGGAATGTGAATGGGATTGGGGACAGGGACCGGGAATACAAGTCAGGTACAGAGAATGGGGTCCGGAGTGGGATGGGAGCAGGACGGGAATATGATAGAGGGGATGTGGGAACGGGCAGAGGGAACAGGAGTGACAGCGGGAATGGGGCAGCCGCTGCAGGGGACACGAGGCGTTGGGATGGGGGCAGGTGGGGACAGTTCCAGAGCAGGGGCTCCTTGATCAGCTGCCCCAGAACCTCCAGCAGGGTCTCCCAGTGCAGCCGGAGCCGCTCCTGGGGTGCCCAAAGTCCTGAGCAAGCCCCAGGTCCCTCCCAGGAACCCTCAAGTCCCTCAGACCCAGCATCCCCCACATCCCCTGCAGGACCCCCCATGTCCCCATCCTTGTCTTAGCTCAATGTCTCTGTTTTTACTCAGATTTTAAGGGTTTTGAAAGGGCAAAGAGAAATGAAAAGAAAATCCAGGCCATGGGGAGTCAGGAGGATGTGGAGCCCCCAGCCAGGTGTCTTCCCAACATGGATCATTGGCACCAAGGATCACCAGGGCTCTGCCCACTGAGGGCACTGGGGATCACCCAGCGTGGATCCTTCCTTGGGGAATGGAGCTGGAGCAGTGCACAGAGCTCTTCCCGCACTGGGGGCACTCGCAGGGATTCCCTTGGTGGTACCTCTGTTGGTGTTGGGTCAAGGCTGAGTGCTGGGTGAAGCTCTTCCCACACCAGGGACACTTGTAGGACCTGGCACATCACCAGGAGCAGGGCTGGGATGTGCTCTGGTGCCTGGCACATCACCAGGAGCAGGGCTGGGATGTGCTCTGGTGCCTGGGATATCACCAGGAGCGGGGCTGGGATGTGCTCTGGTGCCTGGCACATCACCAGGAGCGGGGCTGGCTCTGATGCTCTCCAGTGCCTGGGACATGGCAGGAGGTGGTGCTGGCTGGGGTTTCTGTGGTGTCTGTGCAATCCCAAGGCAGTGTCACAGGGGCAGCTCTCGGTGTCCCCCCAGGTCACGCTGTGCAGTGCAGCCCGTGCCAGCGGTCACTGCGCACTTGGGGCAGGCTGGGCTGGACGGGGCTTGGGGCACAAACGCTGCCCCCGGGACTGGGCTCTGCCCCTGCCTCTGTGGCCCTGCCCTGCTGGGAGCACCCTGGGCAGGGCACGGGGCTGCTGCTGGCCCAGGGATCTTGGGATCCTCTGGTCAGGTCTGGTTGGGAAGATCCCGAGGTGTGTCTCTGTTAAAAATCTCTTTTCCCCAACCAGCAGCCGAAGAAGGAGTCAAGAAGTCTTCCGTTCACGTTCTCAAGGTTCTTTATTATTTCTTTATCTCAAACATTTTCTGTCTGGCCTGCCAAAGTCTGTTCTGTAGGTTGGTCTGATGCACACACTCCACCTCTTGGGCTGGTGCTGTCTTTTATACTAAAAACTACATATACTATGTTTACAATTATGTTCCAATACCTATCACCTATGTTAGGCAGTGACTTTCTACTCTAAACCAATCGGTGAATGCCAGCATCATCCTGAACATGGATGGCAGGGAGAAGAAAGAAGGACAGGGCCCGCCCAAATTCCTCCATCTTGGAACGCCTGACCCCCATGTACAGAATCCCAAACCCCCCTGTACAAGGTTCAAAACCCCCCTGTACAGTGCTCCAGAATTTTTCCCTTCACCCTGTGATTGCTACTGCTATGCTGCTTAAACTTTTGTGACCTGTAATTCTTCATATAAAGTGGGCAATTTGCTCCATGGGTTGAGATAGAGTTCCCAGGTGTCTTTGGCTTCCTGCCAGGGTCTCCAAGCCCCTGCCAGGGCTTTGAGACATCCAGGGCATCCAGAGAAATGTCCTGGGTTCTGACACAGGGGGACAGGCCTTGCCCCCTGACAGCTGCCCGGGGCCCTCTGATGCCTGTCCCACATCCCTGTGCCTCCTGTCCCTGCTACTCCCCGCCACCTTCACTCCCTCCATCACAGCCCCTCTCAACCTCTTCATGGTGGCCTCTAGAAGGAAAGAAAGAATGAAGGAAAGAAGTGTTGTCTCTTCACCCTGCCTAGATGCCTGGCACCCACCAAGGCTGCTCTCTCACTCAATTCCAGAGATGGGTAGGAGAGAGAAAAGAGAATGAAGGCTTCATGGCTTGAGTTAAGGACTGGGACAGATCACTCAGCAAATGTCATCATGGGCAAAAAGATTTTTGAAATTACAGATATTAATTGAATTTATTGCTATCATGTGCTCTGGTGCCTGGCACATCACCAGGAGCAGGGCTGGGATGTGCTCTGGTGCCTGGCACATCACCAGGAGCAGGGCTGGGATGTGCTCTGGTGCCTGGGATATCACCAGGAGCGGGGCTGGGATGTGCTCTGGTGCCTGGCACATCACCAGGAGCGGGGCTGGCTCTGATGCTCTCCCGTGCCTGGGACATGGCAGGAGGTGGTGCTGGCTGGGGTTTCTGTGGTGTCTGTGCAATCCCAAGGCAGTGTCACAGGGGCAGCTCTCGGTGTCCCCCCAGGTCACGCTGTGCAGTGCAGCCCGTGCCAGCGGTCACTGCGCACTTGGGGCAGGCTGGGCTGGACGGGGCTTGGGGCACAAACGCTGCCCCCGGGACTGGGCTCTGCCCCTGCCTCTGTGGGCCTGCCCTGCTGGGAGCACCCTGGGCAGGGCACGGGGCTGCTGCTGGCCCAGGGATCTTGGGATCCTCTGGTCAGGTCTGGTTGGGAAGATCCCGAGGTGTGTCTCTGTTAAAAATCTCTTTTCCCCAACCAGCAGCCGAAGAAGGAGTCAAGAAGTCTTCCGTTCACGTTCTCAAGGTTCTTTATTATTTCTTTATCTCAAACATTTTCTGTCTGGCCTGCCAAAGTCTGTTCTGTAGGTTGGTCTGATGCACACACTCCACCTCTTGGGCTGGTGCTGTCTTTTATACTAAAAACTACATATACTATGTTTACAATTATGTTCCAATACCTATCACCTATGTTAGGCAGTGACTTTCTACTCTAAACCAATCGGTGAATGCCAGCATCATCCTGAACATGGATGGCAGGGAGAAGAAAGAAGGACAGGGCCCGCCCAAATTCCTCCATCTTGGAACGCCTGACCCCCATGTACAGAATCCCAAACCCCCCTGTACAAGGTTCAAAACCCCCCTGTACAGTGCTCCAGAATTTTTCCCTTCACCCTGTGATTGCTACTGCTATGCTGCTTAAACTTTTGTGACCTGTAATTCTTCATATAAAGTGGGCAATTTGCTCCATGGGTTGAGATAGAGTTCCCAGGTGTCTTTGGCTTCCTGCCAGGGTCTCCAAGCCCCTGCCAGGGCTTTGAGACATCCAGGGCATCCAGAGAAATGTCCTGGGTTCTGACACAGGGGGACAGGCCTTGCCCCCTGACAGCTGCCCGGGGCCCTCTGATGCCTGTCCCACATCCCTGTGCCTCCTGTCCCTGCTACTCCCCGCCACCTTCACTCCCTCCATCACAGCCCCTCTCAACCTCTTCATGGTGGCCTCTAGAAGGAAAGAAAGAATGAAGGAAAGAAGTGTTGTCTCTTCACCCTGCCTAGATGCCTGGCACCCACCAAGGCTGCTCTCTCACTCAATTCCAGAGATGGGTAGGAGAGAGAAAAGAGAATGAAGGCTTCATGGCTTGAGTTAAGGACTGGGACAGATCACTCAGCAAATGTCATCATGGGCAAAAAGATTTTTGAAATTACAGATATTAATTGAATTTATTGCTATCAAAATCAAAGTAGGATAGTGAGAAGTAAAATAAAGCTTTAAGAACACCTGCCCATCTCTCCCTCCTTCCCAGCTCTGCCTCCTCCCCCAGTGGGTGCAGGGAGATAGGCAATGGGGGTTCTGCTCAGTTCATCACCCCTTATTTCTCCTGCTGCTCGGGGAGAGGAGTCGTTCCCTGCTGTGCCAGGGGTCCCTCCCCCAGACACTTCTCCATGAACTTCTCCCAGGTGAGTTCATCTCACGGACAGCAGCTCTTCACAAACTGCTGCAGCGTGGCTCACTCTCCCACGGGCTCACAAGTCCTGCCAGGCCCCTGCTCCAGCCTGGGCTCCTCTCTCCAGGGGTTTGCAGGTCCCTGCCAGGTCCCTGTTCCAGCACAGATTTCTTGTGGGGTCACAGCCCCACTCAGGCACCCCCTGCTCTGGCATGGGCTCCTCCAGGCGCTGCAGGTGCATCTCTGCTCTCCCTGCCCTCCATGGGCTGCAGGACCCGGCTGCCTCCCCCGGGACTGCTCCAGGGAATCTCAGGCAATCAGCTCCACACCTGGAGCAGCTCCTACCCCTCCTCCTGCCCTGCCCTGCCCTGGGGTGTGCAGAGTTGTTCCTTTCACATGTTCTCACCCTGCTCTTCCCTGCTCACAGTTACAGCTACACAATTGCCCATTTTCTTTTTCTTAAAACTTTTTTCCCAAAGGT